GTTTTTACTATATACTTACGTATATGCAATAGAGCTCACTCATGGAGTCCTTCATTCAACATGTTGATGATTTATGTTTTGTACCGACTAGACCCTGCTCTATAAGATGTTTAGTTATCTGCTAATTTTGCAGCTTGCTTTTAAAGGACGGTGGACATACTCCATTTTTGAAATTTTAACTTTCAACTTTGTGAGCTACTTAAGCTAAAAGCGTTGCTATTCAAAGTTCAGGCTGAATATCCAAACGGACTAACAAGCCTGTTGTTGCATGGAGCAAAGAAAATCTTTCCCACAACCTGGGCCTTCGCAGTAGCAACAGCGCAGGAGAATACAAGTCATTTCCACTAAATTTAAAAAAAAACGCCGACTTATGGACAAGCCGACTTAATGCTAGCGGTATAACGGCAATTCTTGAAAGATACTGCATTTTGTGATACCAAGGTGCCGCTGGACACAGTTGTTCCTTACAACCACGATTTGGCTAAAAGAACACTTGACATTTTCCGTGTGGGTAGATTTTAGAGGGGGTGGTGGTAATTTATTGTAAAATTGTTGAAAAAACTAAATATAGCCTAGAGACTAGATCTGGGTGTCAATTTCGCATGAGTTTAACTCGAGAAATCCAGTGGTAGCGCCAGAAATGTAATCCGGATACAGGAAGTCCGTTAAAAGCCACCATTTTACGTGTTATACGTATTATAACGAGCGATCAAAAATGAGTGGCGGTCGAGTCGCTTTGGAAGTTCAAGTTAAGTACTTACAATTTCCCATGTAAACAGAAATTCCGAGGGTGACTCTACAGCAACTCATTTTTGATTGCATAGTCTTTCTAAGGCACACCGGGTCGTGTAAAGGTGTCTAGACTTATGTTTTTGGGGCCAGGGAATTCCTTTAGGTAAGAAAAATAACCTACGGGCATCGGAAGTGCATGAAAGTCTTCCCTATCACACTTTCTGAAGACGTCGCACGCAGTGAAACCCAAGATCTTCCATTGTTTTAATATATACACTTATAATAATAAATAAAAATGCACATTAACAAAACAAAAACATAACGTGTGTACGTTATTAAAACATTTAGTTTCAAAATTTACAAGGCTATGAAGCATCGCCAAGTACAGCACTGACTTCCTCTGCGATTAACCTCCGTCAGAAAGGTTTAAAGCGTGTGGCTGCAATATGGAATCGGATCTAGACAACGCTTTCACTATGTGAATGTTCATCAAATTTCGAAGATCGTTGGTAGGTACCAAGTGGCAAAGTACAATGGTGTCTCAAAACCGTAAACAGCGTTTAGAAGTGATATTTTATGATGCTGGCAAACAAGAAATGGTTTTTCTCATATTTTATGACTTTTTTTCATCATCGGCATATTTCCCTCACCTACATTAGTAGTTTTCCATGTAAAACTAGTTGTAAAGTAAACTCCTGACTTGGCTTTCGGACTACTTTTAATAGTCATTGTAATTATCTTTGGTCATACTCTAACATTTAGAAAATGCCCTCTAGCGCCTTTGCTTTGAACCCGACGCAAAAAGTGTACAAGCCTTTCTTGTAGATCTGACCAAGACACATCTTTTTTGTAATTAACATTTTTCACTCTGATGCTTACTTTTAGAGAAAAATGCAAATTTAGAAAAATATAATAAATAGTTTAACTTTTCAATTCAAAACTTCTCAAAAACAAAGTTTTTTAAGCCATTTTGGCCAATGTATGCGAATAAATTTTAAAAAATTTTTTCGAGCTGTTATAGCTCTTAAACTTTTGACACCCTCTACAACTATAAAGATGGTTATGGATCAAAACCAAAATAGGACACACCGATAGTAATTCGCTACAGTTTCCGGGAACTTGGTTGGGAGGTTCTTATATGCATAAACTTATAATCCGGATCTAGCACCAAGTAATGTCGACTTCTTCGTGTGTATGGCGAATGATTTTGCTGGTGAAAAATTCGTCTCAATTTTTAGGTGGAAAACGTGGCCCATGCAACATATGCGCCTTGTCCAGATGTGACAATTTTCGTCCCACCAATTTTAAGTAGTGCCTAAAACAGAATTGTACTAAGTATTGCTTAGCATTTTATAATTGATGCTTTAGGAAAGCTAGCATTTTGGGTATAAGCGCGAAACCTTATACCCAAAATGCTAGCTTTGTTGAATTGTGGTTGTGCATTTCGGTAACTATGGTCATATAAAGACAATTAAATAGTTCAGTCATGCCATCGAATTTTCCATGCGCTGCAACGACTAAAGGATCTACCTACATAAGACGTTTTTGGGATAGCTTTTAAAGATAATTCTCAAGTAGCCCCTTTAGATTTAAACATTATAACGTATTTTGAGACTTTCTCATAATGCACACATCCAGGTGTTAATTACCAAATTGTTCAAGAATTGAAATGTCCAGGGGTCACAGCATACTTAGTTGCGAATTTTGAGATGCAGAAACCAACACTTATAGTACACCCTGTAGGATAATCGAAAGTTGAAATAGAGAAATTCACATCTTCCATGTTGGTACACCTGTATTTTGACAGCCACCCGTCACTTACATAACTATTTGCTATTTCACTCCGTTACGCAGAAGTGTCATATATTTGTCTCTTTTTTATGGCTGTCAGTTGAAGGGCATTTTAGCACAGTTTTAGAAATTTTTCCTATTTTACAAAATTTTATCAAAATGTTGTCGAGGGTTGGATTTTTGAAAGGTAATTATGCTCAATATTCCCAGGTTATTAATCAGAATCTTTCAGTAATATATCACGCTTTATTTTAATTAGGAATTAGGTTATGTAATCACTTACTGGTATTCCTTCTTTCAGGTCAACACTTAAAATCGTTAGTGCAACCGAAATATGTAACTGCTTCAACTTCATGCCCTGCAGTTGGAGACAACAAAAATGAACCTCAAATCCCA